TTGGGGGGGGGGGGGGGGGAGGCCCGTGCCCCGTTGCAGTGCATATGTTGCAAGCATGGACACAAGTCAGGCTCGTGTTGGCACCACGCAGCAAATGTATGCGTACATGAGAGCGGTGCACCGTATTCGTATTCTACACAATACGGCACACCGACAAAGGGTAGCACGTCCCACTGACGAAGGAAACCATCCCCCATTCCATACAATACCACATCCGGTGGTAATTTTCTCACGGGTCAACATGAGCCCAATATGAGAGCGGTGCACCGTATTCGTATTCTACACAATACGGCACACCGACAAAGGGTAACACGTCCCACTGACGAAGGATAACATCCCCCATTGCACACAATACCGCATCCGGTGGAAATTTTCTCACGGGTCAACATGAGCCCAACACACAAAAAAAAAACAGTTTCAGATCACGAAACAGGGCGGCATGAGATACCACCGGACACACATAACATCCCCGGTGGTACTAACTTCTAATCTTTGAGAGGTCAAAATGATATCATCCGGGTGCGCTATTTGTGTAGTAGTACATGGCATCACGCAAGAGCTCATTCGCCTTATCACTGGTAATTACTCAACTGGATACTGTTTGCATGTTTCATGACGATCCGGAAAAACACCAGCTGCGCATTTCTGTCTTTCGTCCGCATTTCTCAACTATGGCCACCTGCAGCACACAGAATTTACCACGGATATCTAACCCCCAACCCCCCACTGTGTGTTTTATTTCGTGTCCCCATCTGTGTGTCCATATTTGTTCATCTCTTGCCCCCCTGGCGTGTGTGTCCTCCATCTCTCTTGTCTTGTCCACCCTGTCTGCCTGTCCTGATGTGTCTCCCTCTCCCTCCCTCCCTCTTTCTGTCTGTCTGTCTGTCTGTCTGTCTGTCTGTCTGTCTCTCTCTCTTGTCCCTTGTCAATTTGTCTTGTCCATTTGTCTGTCTGTCTGTCTGTCCGTTTTTCTGTGTCTTTCCGTGCCCTTGCCTTTCCTCTCCCACCGGTCTTACCTGCTCCATCGAAGTGGATGCCAGAGCGGGGTAACCAATCACGTCTCCGCACGCGTATACACGAGGGTTGGAAGTTTGGTAGAAGTCGTTAACCTGCGCAACGCCGGACATGCAGCATAAAAACAGGACACACGACAGTCAGAACAGAAGATGAAGCTGTCAACGCGGCGAAACCGTACCCGGACGGAAGCAAGTGCTGCCACCACCACGGCAGCCTCGATTGAGATCCGAGCAGATATCGGGTGTGCCTATGTAGTAGCTGGGGGTCAACCCAAAGAACAGGCAGCGACACGGGGTGATGTTGATACCTTAAGCTTCACGTGGCGGTAGCATTCATCGAAGGACCGGGGAAAAAACGTCCAAACCACGGGTCCTCTACATACCACGAGGCGAATCAGATTCCACAATGGTTTTGCTACAGAGCAATCGAGCTTTGTACAGGGGGGGGTGTTATCTTACGCAACCTGCGGTATTCCTGACGCGCCGGGGTTGTTGTGCACTATACCCTACCCGCACCTCCAGCAAGCCTCTCTTGTCGGCCTCTAGCCCGGCCCGGGCGAGGTCCATGCTGTCTGTGTTTCCCTGCCGCCCCATGGTGTACAGGAGGGCGTCCCCTACGACCCGCTTACCGGAGGCTAGGTGCGCGATGACCTTCACGCCTGCACCGAGGAAGAGCGATCGAGAGCCCCCCGGAGGGTGTGTGCATTTGATCGTCCTTGTGGGAACAGTGCTACATTGTCCTCTCGAGGACGCGTGGTCAATGGTCTAGTAACCGCCAAGGCACGCAAACATGAGTACGCCCTACTGCCCCCCCCCCCCCCCTTCTCGCGTACAATCACTATTTCACGGGGTCTCCCCCCCTCTCGCCCCAAAGGGTGTGTGCGTGGAAGGACGGGACGGGAAAGCGCCAGAGGGGGTTGAGTATGGGTGATCGTCTAGCGGACCTGTTGATTCGATCCGAAGCGCGGCCGAGGCTACGACAAACCAGCTGGCCCGGTTTGGAGTTGATTAGACCCCAAGCACTAAAAACTTGGTCGCGATCGATCCGCGATGTTTAATAACCGCTCAATCGAAGGAAGGTTTCATTAGCAGCAGTAGCAATAGCAGCAGCAGCAACAGCAACAACCACCGTCGTCAACACTACCAGCAAGAACACCCGAACAAAAAAAGGAGACCCAGCAACCACTTTCGACTGCTACAACAAGCAGCGTCACCAACACCAACACCGTGACCAACCAACCAACAACTTTCCAGTAGCCGTCGCAGAATTTTTCGTTCAAGAAAACATCTTGGATAAAGTATGCAATTAGGGAAGTTGGGTTATAGGGTTAGGGATAGGGATAGGGTCTGCGCACCCCCTCCCGGTTCTATTTCCTAGTAAACTCAAATTTCTCGCGAAGGCGAGGCAGCCCAGACTTTCTCACCTCCGTTGCTGTCCTTCTTTTCGATCTTCTCGATCCGGGTTATGTGCTCGTTTAGGAGGAAGCGTGCACCTGCCGAGCGCGCGCAGCCAACGGGAGAGTTTCAGTGCCTCAATGTAGCACGCGTGCCGCCGCATCGGCGTTGTTCGTGCCGAGGGGGCCAAAATCCATGAGAGCGAGCTCCACTTGTCTCCGGCGAAGCACCAACGAGGGGACGTGAAAAAAAATATAACAAAAAAACGCGGCCATCTGCATAGGTAGTGAGTGATCTTGTGGCTGTTTTTTAACACATGACAACACAAATTTTAGCTATGAACTTATTATTTTCCGCGCCTCTTCCAGACAAGGGAACGACGTTCCGTGGCCACAGGCTAAATCCAAAGTAGGGTAAACATCTGCATGAAAAGGTTCACGGAGACCCCCACCCATTTGCCAAAAATTAAAACTAGAACTAACGGTCCAGAAAGACAAACATGCTTTGGAAGAGACAGAAAAAATACCGTAGGTTGCATAAGATACCACGCCCCCTTTACCAATTTTCAAAGCTCGGCTTTTCCACGCCGAAGGGGATGCCGATATCAAACGATACGTTTTGGAAACCTCTCGACGAGACGGTTTCAACGCCGCCATTTTCGGCACCGTCACCGCTTGCCAGGTAATCGAGCTTTGAAAATCGGTCCAGGGGGTGTGATATCTTCTGCAACCTAAGGTAGGAAGCCGTTCTACATGTAAAACGCGATGGAGCAGTGTCGAAAGCCTAGAAGCAGCAAGGCACGACGGGTGAGCGTCTCAAAGATTGCCGATACATCACGTTTTGCACTGCAGAGCACGTGCTTCGACCAAAAACCGGCCCATCCATCACCAAAGTTGGTCCCGCTAATGTCCCAGCCCACAAACCACTTTTTCTTTTTGTCATACACACCTTGCTAGAGACTGGACTCATCGCCACCTACCCCACCACTCCGGGTTACTACCCCGGCAGCCAATAGTATCGAACTGCCTACGCAAAAGAAAGTCCATTTATTACGAAAAGAGAGAAGGCAGGGGGCACGCAGACCCTAGCCCTAACCCTAACCCCAACTTAGCTGATCCTATACTTTATCCAGCATGTTTTCTTGCTGAGAAAAACCTGTGTAGACTGCTGCTGAGACTATTGCCCCATTTTCGGAAGCGCGTGACGCACCGTTCTGGCGCATGGTGTATTGGAGGTTCTCGATGACGTCATTGTCCGCGAAGGATAGCACCGTTGGTCTCGGGTCGATAACCGTCACGGTGGTCCCCGGTACGACGTTGATCATGCACGCGTACTCCATCCCGATGACCCCGGCTCCAACGACGATAAGGTCTCTGTGGCCAGAGGGGACAACCAACGGACAACAAGTTCGTTTCTCATTGCCGTTATTGTAGTTATGTCTTCAGACGGGGTAAGGCTACGATGAGACCTTTTGTGTGAAAGTGTTTCTGGTGTGTTCAGGCGGGCCGGACAAAAAAGAAGATCTTTCGCTGACGACCGAGCGGGGAGCAACAGCCAACGGTACGCAACGTTTTTTGGTTTCAGATGTCTTCAGGCGGGGCTGGATGACGACAGAAACATTTTTCCGTTTTTCTGATGCCTTCAGACGGACGGGCTGGATAAAACAAACAGCAAATTTCGCTCATGACAGAGAAGGAGCAACAGCCAACAGTACACAAACTTAGTTCTTGTGGTGATCAGATGTCCTCTCAGGCGGGTTAGATTAAAGACCTTTCGGTAAATAGTTTTGTTGGTGTCTTCAGGCGGGCTGGACTAAACAACAAAACCTTTCGCTCATGACAATCTCCAACCGTCACGGTATCGATAAGAACGTTGGCAAGCGTGCAAGACAAACGTTTCAAACGGTCCGCTCGAGGATGCATTTACAGCGAGACAGACAAACACACACACAGACAGAGATGTAGGTTGAGAGAGGGCCGCAAGTCAGCCGAAGGTGCCGAAGGCCGGTGACACGTACCCCTGCTTGCACCTAGCTCCTGTCCCAGGCATCACCTCCCTTCGGACGCGTAGGCCGTCCATGTGTCGCCCACCAGGAAGCACGGCAAAAAATATGAGAGCGAACACAGAAAAACGCTCCACTCACTCGTTCGAATAGACGCGGGCTATCCGACCCCCCCCCCTCCCCCCCGCGCGCAAAACGCGAGCATCGATACGACAGGAGAAAAACAAACCTACTCATAGGCACCTGCTGGCGTGAACGCAACCAACCCAGAGAAACATGATGGAGACAGCAAAGAGACAGAAATGAAAACCCTCACTTTGCGGCAGCAGCAGCAGCAGCAGCAGCAGCAGCAGGAAGTACCGGTGCCTGCACTTTGTAGGGACGCGCACTCATCATCACCAAAGGAGGAGAGAAAAATTAACAACAAAAAATCACCTGGGAATGTGCGTGATGCCTCCCCAGAGAAGCTGATCCGAGTCGAAAATATGCGTCCCGTCGAAGGGAATGTCGGGGGGCCTGCGACCACGAACAGGCAAGGGGGAGGTGAGCAAAAACAAAAAACAGAAACGACCGCGACCCATGGGTAAGCAAACGGGCGAGCAGAGACCGCTCACCAGCGATCTAAAGCGAAAAGGATACCGCAAAGAGGAGACGTTATGGAGGAAATACATAGCACGGACCATCACCGCTAGTACTGCCACCGGCAAGATCATGATTACGGATAGCCAGCCTACAGGCTTTGCTCCAGGAAAAAAAAGAATACGACTGCTGTCCGCCTGGTGAAGGTTTTTGCAAGACTTCTTTGTGCGTGGCGACGAAATCAGCTACCGTACGCAAGAGCGCGGACCTGTGGGCGGCACAGAGGCTGAGCAACCAAGAACTGCAACAATCCACCACCACATGGCAGACGGCGAGGTGAAGACAAATCGGGCGTCGGTCTGACTCGCTCTCAACGCCTAGATAACCCAACAACGGTTTGTTTCTTGAACGTTCACGTGTGCCCCCTCCCCCCCCCCCCTCACCGTACGGGTCGCGTCCCGCACGCCACGAGAAAACGCTCGGCCGATATGACCGACTTGGGCGTGTCCGCCCCGACGTGCCGGTACGGAGAGCTGGCAGCCTCGTGTTCGTCGCCCAACGACCGCAGCACCATCGCCGACACTCTGGAGTCACCGCTGTCCGACTCCACAAACCTGTTGGTTGCCAATAGAAAAGGCGTGCACACGCAGCGGCAGCAGTAGTAGTAGAGCGTGTTTTGAGAAGGGGGGCAGTTTCGCGAGAGCAGTGCCGTCAAGAACCCCAGGAAAAAGTTCCGAGAAAATTTCCGTCCGTTTTGGTCTTGGTCCCGAAACCGCACAACACAATTGCGAAGGAGGTTTGCACGGGGGCACGATTGCACGTCAAACAATTTCGTTGCTTCCTTTTGCGCGGCCCCTACGTGTGGGCAAGTGCTACGCCTCCGCAACGCACATTTTTTCGTCAGGAGCATGGTGTGATATGTATCGCTCTTTGTTCCGTGGTAACTCTTCCCCGCGTATGTGACACCCCCCTCAATCCTACCCTTCGCAAGCCAAAGCGCGTTTCTCCCTCATGCTTCATACGACTTGTCCCCAGAAGAAAAATCATGTTACGCTTGGAAATTTCGAACACATGCTGTCGTGACGAGCAACCACCCACCGTGCCGTTCCCGTGATGATTTCCACGCCCTCCCTGCTGAGCTGGTCGGTTACGACATCAGTCTCCGCTGCCTCCACCTTCTTCACTCTACGTTACAAGACAGGGCGAGGCGGGGGAGGGGGGTCGCGGGCGTTAAGTGCGTGTGCGGGATGGCGACTTACACGTGGTGCAACGCGCATATTATTGGCAGAAAAACCAGAGTATAAGGCTGTGGAGGCCAAGCCAGCAGCAGCAGCAACAACACTACTTATCACCACGACCAAAACATAACCGTCACCACCTCGACCACCAACAAAAAAAAATGTAACAACAACTCGTTGTACCTCGAGAGCAGGTCGGGCATGCTGATGGTCTTCTTGTACGATCGCCCGTAGAATCCCTGGTGTCTGTACCCCGTCAAGTGCAAAACCGCCTCCCTGCTCGCAAGAGACATCGATAGGATAGATAGTAGTGTTTGGATAGACAGTAGATAGATAGCATAGGGAAATAGTTTTTGAGGGGAAATAGTTGTTGAGTCACATTTGGGACATAATGATTGGCCATCGGTGAGATAGTGTTAGGATGGGCAAAGATAGGACAAGGGAGAATAATTTGAGCCACAATTGGCAAAGTAGGAAGGAACGATTGGCTTTCGGTGATCGGTCCTGTGGGAACAGTGCTCCTCTCGAGGACGCGTGGGCTAACAGCTAAGGCATGATTGGCCATCCGCGGTTCGGTACTGTGGGAACAATGCCCCGTCCCCTCGAGGACGCGTGGTCAATGGTCTAACCGCTGAGGCATGCAAATCATGAGTACGCCCCTCCCCCCTTGCCCGAGCGGCGGAAACCCGGATATCAACAGCAGGAGTAGCGGTGACTAAATCGCCATTGCATCGTAGTGGCCACGCAAACCTTCAGCAAGAACGCGCATGGTAAACCGGGATAATCGCGGCGTCGACGGACAAGAACATGGTACAAGAACAAAAAAGTCGCTGCAAAGACTTCGACCCATCCCTGCGGTAGTATCTCGAACGGATAGACTTTCTGTGATTGTATGTAAATACAGGTTCCGGTTTATTGGCGGTAGATGTCAGCCCCTGAACCGGCATCTAGCCGGCAACCGATATTATTCGGAGACCAACTTGAATATTCATCTGTGCCAGACTATTTCACCGGCTGTATAGCGGAACCACTACCGTATCATCTAAAGATAAAATTCGAAAGACGAAGTCAAACACATCCCGACAAAGCGAGGCAGACGTGGGCGAGAGAAGCCGAAGCGAACGGTTACAATATGTGAATCAAGGTTGCACCGCTTTTCTATTTCCCCTATCTAGGAACAACCTTGTTATTGCTTTCTCCTTGAAGGAGGGAGGGTATCGAGCGCGAAAAACTATAGCGGTCTGTTGCTAAAAAAGTAAGTCGTGGGGTCCACACGACCCGGCATTTTCCTTTCCGAGGATGGTCGACTCGCCAGCTCCTAACTTTTTGGTTTAAAAAAAAATACTCGCCTGAACGTTTTGCCTGGGGATGGTCCCGGTGTGCACGCAAACGCCTCCCAAAAGGTCCTTCTTATCGACGACCGCTACCCGCTTGCCTGTCGGGGGGGGGGGGGGGGGGGCAGGTGTGAAAAGGGTCATATGGTGGAGGAGCGACCTCGCTGTCGATGGTCCCAAAGAGAGGAGGAAACCGGGCGTACCAACCGACGCGTCGCCACACAAGTTTGATCCCGGCGACGCTGCTGGCGTTGCGGATCTCAACAATGTTTGGTGACTCTAAAACTCGAAGGCAAGCGCCGCAGGAGGGGTTGGTAGGGGGCCTCAGGGGGAGAAGCTCTTCTGTGTGATGTGACCACGGATTGGAGCTCCTACCCCGCAGAAATGCTGTGAGCGCTGATTTAAAGTGGTGGGAAAAAACAAAATGAACACACAGAAGCAGAGGGTACAGGTCGTCGTTCTGTGTGGTTCCTCGTCGCCTACACGGTGCGGCCAATGGAAGGAGGAGAGGGTTCATGTGCCCTTCAGGTTCGGACGCACGAAACACACGCAGAAGGCGGGTGTGTGCCTATTGCATTGCGGGGAGCGTTCCACGCCGCTCAAGTCGAGCCATCACGACTAACCAAGATCAGAATCCAAAGTGATGCAGGAGCCAAGCTGAAAGAGGAGAAAAATTTGCCCCCCCCCGGGCTGAAAACACGATTTGGAGTCTCCGTCGGACAAGGCTCTGGCCAACCAAAGCGACACTCACGGCCTTGCACTCGCCTTACCTTCCGTGGAGAAGGACAGCGACTACACAGCAGCAGGAAGTCATGCATCTACCAAAAGAGGCGGAGAGATGGCAACCCCCCTAGACCGATCTTCCAAGCCCGTTCGCTCCACAACCAAGCTTGTTCCAACACCATAAACAGTGGTTTTGGGAATACCTCGTCGAGAATGTTCCGTGCACGTATCGGTCTCTTCCCGCACCCCCCTGGTTGCGGAGCAATCAATTTTTCAACTCGGTCTAGGGGAGGTGCCATCTCTCTCTCTCCGCCTCTTCCGCTTTTTTACCAGCCTAACCAACGTTCCACGACCGTGCTCAACCGGCCGCTCATCTCTGGTGCACGAAGTGAGAGAGACCCATCCCCCCCGCCGCCGCCGCCCGCGCTCGTTCGAGGAGTAGGCGGGGACGGCATGGCCGTCTCTTTCCTCCAGCGCTTCAAATGTGGGCACCACTGAACGTTACGTTGACACATCGTACAGCAGTACGCGCCTTGTTTCCCCTTCAAGCACCTCTGCGCACCAAAACCAGCTTGGGTTGCTCTCTGTTCCCCCCCCCCCCTCCGCCGACGGGGTACGAAACACCCCGCTCTCAGCGAAACGAGCGAATGTGTCTCCATGTTCGGTTGAAAACTACAACGATATCGGTAGCGTCATCTTGTTGGTACACTGCTGTAGATCATTCTCCTTGTTGGCACACTGTTGGGGCATTTCCTCCCCTCAGTTTAGGCTATGCTGTATTTTTGTAGCCCGACTGACCTAGTTTTGCCGACATCACAGCACACTTGACTGCCGCCGGCCCGCTTCCCACGATGACCTGCACACGGTAGAAAAGAACCACAATCACCACCCGATGGCAGTCAAACAAAACGAAAACGAGACTCAGGAGCGAGCAAAAAAAAAAACATGGGCCGCGCATGTACCACCGTGCGTGCCCACGGCATATGCAGTGGGTAGACACCGCTGGTGCTGGCGATGGTTCTACAGCGTTACTACTGCTGCCGTCGTTTACAGTTAGCGAATGCACGTAAGAACGAACCTCTGATTTTGGTCGAGGCTCGTTTCATAATTTTCTGTGGGGGTAACCGAACAGCGACTATAAAGGTTTTAGTGTGGGAATCTTACACTGAGCACCCGCGCGTATGCCCAAGTTAATCTTTTATTGAACCTGAACTTCTTAACTCCCAGGTTGTCAAGTGCGGCCGATAACTGTATCACGACCGTCCCAAGCCCCGAGGAAAAGATCGAAGGCAGAGGCGCGAAACAAGGCTTGAGGATATCCCGTGGAAGTTTGGACCAACCGAGTTTAGGTTAGGACTCGAGCAAGGGTTAGGGAAGGGATCGCCCGGGCGAGCACAAGAGGAGCCGGGCCTGACCTGCATCAAACCATCATAATATCTTCCGAAGCCCGTACACAGCATCGACATGGAACCAATTTGCAGCGTTTGTTGTTGTTGTTGCTGTCTTCACATTAAAAACCGTTCTGATCTCTCTGTAGTACCTTCATCTGTCCGTACTATTGTAGTCTAACACTGGACGCTGTCGATTCCCGTTGTCACAGGCAAACTTACCCTAAAAGGTATACTAAAATCAAATGGACCCGAAGGCTCCGCAAGTCAAAAGAAATCAACGAGATATAGTCTAGAACCCTCCGCTCGCCTCTACATGCTATGCGAGGTAAACATAGACTGGAAGTCAACATCACGGGCCAGAGAAATTAGGTCTACAAGTATAAGTCCCTGGTTCGGTAGTCATTAAACATGGGGCAATAGCGATTGATTTCCCTTCCTATCGGTGGAAAAGGCAAGACACTCGGCCCTTCAAAGCGGTAACGCCACCTACCAGGTCAAAATGATCACTCGATGCCGCCACGCTGGGCAGCGTGGAAAGTCCCTCGCTACTGCCGCCGCCGCTTTTGCCCCATACCCGCGCTGCTCGCCTTCCTACAGCAAGGCCGCCGTCGGAAGGGGTCTTTAGCGCTAGCCTTGCGCCCGCTCCGCGGCTGTCCCCGCAAGCGTAGATTGTAACCAAGTTGGTGTTTCGAGACATGCGAGCCGTGCATGACACGTTGAGAGGTGAGGCGAAGGGCGGAGGAAGGGAGAGATGAGGGAGGAGAGAGAGAGGGAGACAGACAGAGAGAAAGAGGAGCCGACATCACGATCGTGCCGGCGGCCCCTGCACCGCCGTATGCATATGATATCGCCTCCGCGAAACACGCGCACCCACAAAAGACCGAGATTGCATACGCCACTGCTGACACCAAAGCCATGCACGCCCAAAGATGGCCCATGTACTACAAATACTTACACACCGCTGGGAGTAACAGTCCGTTCTGCTGCCGGTTCTCTCGCAACAGATACAATGACTCCCGCTCGCATTCCTCGGACTTAAACCACATGCAGGACGGGACCATTAGAAAAAAGGCGTCACGTGCTATGCCGCTGTAGGCATGCACAGAAAATTCTAATTCCCCGCCCTCTTGGTGTAGCCTACTGCCGTCAAATTCCTATTCCCCCGCCCTCTTTCGTGTTCATCTCCTGTGGACGGAGCGGAGCGCTTATGGAATCGTGTAGCAGTGCATGCCGCAGTGGCTACTGATAGGCTGAGGGTGTTTTACGTCTTGAAGACTGCAGCAACAACAACCGTTCGGCAGAAAAGCGTACATCGGTCTGTTGTAATGTGGTAAATAAATTGTGTAGTCTCCGAACTACGGGTGCCTCGCTGTTGTCTGTGACATTGACTTCAAATTGATTGGTGGGTTGGCCACCGGGGCTGAGTGCCTACCAATCCCACCGTCGAAAACGGGAAGCCGCGCTGAGCACCAGTCGTAGTACCGGGGGAGGTGGGATCGCAAACATGGTCGTTCGACACGGACGTGACGCAGGGATTGCGTGCACAAAGCAGCAACAAGCTAACAAGAAGAGTCCCGGAAATGCTACCGAACTGCCGACATAGGAGAAGAAAACGAAGAGCCCGGCCTGGTCAAGTGCGGCATCAACATGCAACACTGCTGGTCGCTACTGAAAGGGCGCATGACACAAGAAGATGATGTAGTTCTCCTGCTTGTCAGCAAACCAAAGCCATGGACGCGACGATCGTCCGCGGCAGTATGCACGCACACAAACACAGCAGCAAGATTGCAGCTGTTGCTGTGCTGGAGAGCTACAACAAGAGCTGTAGACTGGTGCCTGCTGACGTACCGGATGATATCTGGACCTACCAGCACAACGAAGAGCTTCTCGCCGAGCGCGCAACGCACCCCGCACCACCCCACCTCTTTGGCACCAATGCCCAGGGTACTGAACACATCGGCCACGGCGGTCAATTAGCGGTGCACAGGACACCGCGGAAAAGGGTTCGCCCTGCGTCGTCGTTGCTTCCGATCTTCCGATCAGCACTGAGCAGGCGAACAGCAACAACACCCTCCTCCCCACGTCGACCAATAACGTATCGCAGAACCGCAGCAGTGCCATCCTTCTCACCATCGCAGCAGCAGCATCGTCCACGTAGACCGGTAGATTTTCCACAGAGCAGAGGGAGTGGATCTACCACCACCAAGGCTGAGTTATTAGAGTTCACAGTAGCAGAAGCAGCAGCAGCAGCAGCAGCAGCAGCAGCAGCAGCAGCACACAGGTTGTGATGGCTACAGCAGTAGTGAGCTGCTTTTGGGTTCGACGCGAGGGGCGACGCAAAATGAAGGAGGGGTTGGTTGCAGTAGTGGCGTCGTCAGCCGGAAAAAAAAATGGGACAAAAAGTCAAGAAGTCCAACAACGATCGCCTGCCTCTTACCCACAACACACGCGAACAAAACCTAGAAGCTCCTCCCTCTTCCTTTGTTCTCGAGAGAAACATGAGCTACTACAACGACGGAGGCGGTCACGGCGGCGCGGGGGAGGGCGTTAGCGGCGGCGGCGGCGGCGGCTGGGGAGGCGGCGGCGGCGGCGGCGGCGGCTGGGGAGGTGGAGGCGGCGGGGGCCGCGGGGGAGGAGGCGGCTACAACAGGCGGCCAGGAGACTGGGAGTGCCCCAACTGCGGCAACAACTGCTTCGCGTCTCGCGTGGAATGCAACCGTTGCCAGACGCCCAAGCCCGTCGGCGCCGGTGGTGGCGGCTACGGCGAACGCGGCGCCGGGGGGGGCTACCAGGGCGGCGGCGGCGGCGGCTACCAGGGCGGCGGTGGTGGCGGCTACGGCGGAGGAGGCGGCTACGGCGGTGGAGGCGGAGGAGGGGGCTACAACCGCAGGCCCGGGGACTGGTGAGTTTAGTGGACGATCCCTGCACCCCACCCCCCCCCTGTCCCCTGTTGCGCTGCGCAAGGACAGAGGGCCTGGGTGCGTGGTGTGCTGGACGTGATTGCAGTCGTGTAGGACGTGTCAAGCAACAGGAGCGCGTCTTCCCTGAACGGAAAATCGCACAGCAGCATCGTTGTTACGTGCATGCGCTTACTTCCCGTGGATGACGCGCTGCTGCTGCCCCCTCAACAACAACCATGAACTCGCTCTCCGCACCTCTCGCTCCCGCCCTTGCCTCGCGTACTACGTCGTCTTGCACATGCTAATCTGCTTCGCCCTTCTGCCCCCTTTCGTATGATCCGGGCCAAGCAGGGACTGCCCCTCCTGCGGAAACCACTGCTTCGCCTCCCGCGTGGTATGCAACCGCTGCCCAACCCCTAGGCCCGAGGGCGCAGGGGGCGGATTCGAGCGCGGGGGCGGAGGTGGAGGGTACCAGGGCAGCGGTGGCTTCGGTGGCGGCGGCGGCTACGGGGGGGGTGGCGGCGGGGGCTACAACAAGCGCCCCGGCGACTGGTAAGTCCACTATATGTAATATTCAAGAGATTTTCACCGCGTGGGTTTACAGGCATTGTGCGGAGAAAGCAAAAGTATTTTTATCGCTTGTGGTTGCGCGCGCGGAGTTGCCGTTTGTTTTTCTCGTTTTGTGGTGGGAGGCGGAACACTTGCCACCATCTACTTGTATGTACGCCGCGGGATTCTTCCCACGAAGGGCTGTTTTTGGTCCGCGCCTGCTGCGCCGACGGCATGATGTTGTTGCGCAATATGCGAGCGCGACGAAGAGGTCGAGAAGTCTGTTTTTTGCAGGACGCACAGGCCCATCCATCCGTCCACCACACAGCAGTAGTAGCAGTGCGTTCGCGGTCGGAACACTTGCTCTCCGCAGGAAGAAACAGGAGGCGGAAGTTCCGCTCCAGATCACAACCACGACCGTCTTAGACACTCCGTTTCCCCTAGTGATGTTCATGAATACCATGGTTTCTTGCTGGGGGCAAAATGACAAAAAAAACACACACACCCACGCACACAGACGCGTCCAGTTGTCTTCTGTTGCTGCTGTTTCTGTCTTTGATCCGAAGGATAGTTTAGCCTCCCCCATGCTGCCCCATCACGGGGTCCCAGTTCATGGTAGATAGAAGCGTTTTGTGTTTTCAACCGTACTAAGACTGACGTCTTTTCATTGGTCAGCCGGTTAGCGCGGTCGATGCTCATAATAAAAGCACACACATATTCACCAGGCTCCAGGGGTCTGCAGGCTGGTCGCTCTTTTTTCGCGAGTCAACTCTGAATCCTCTTATGTATTTTCGAAACGAAAGATCGTCCGTGCGGCTCGTGGGCGGAGGGGTACGCACACCACCTTTTTGTTAGAAGTTGGTCCTCCATCCCCCCCATAAAACGCGCAGCAGAGTCCAAATCCAACGCACTCCCTCTGCACCATGCTCGAGAGCCGGAGCGAGTTACTTCATTACTGCTTCGTTCCCCCTCGGTGTATTGAAGTATGATACTTCCAGCATGTGACGACATCATGTGCGTGGCGTTGGTAAGCATGCTGCACCAGACAGTGCATCGGATGAAATCGTAAGTGTCCCTTCGTGATATATAACCCTTTTGGGGGGAGGAGTGCTGCTGCTGCTTCCCCTGTTCCCCGCATTTGTAGGCTGACTCACCACATACCACATACAGCAGTTGTCGTGGGCCGGGTTTAGTGATTCGTGTCACAATATGCTGTGACCGCCATTGAGGGCATCGCCGCTAAACCGGATTGGCAGTTATATTGCAGTTTGAGTACCGAGGTGCATCCAGCCGTGCCACGAGATGTTGGGACCGCTATTCAGCTAAACAGGGAACCGCTAAACCGGGACCACGACTGCTGTACCTGCACCGTTAGCAGAAAGTTTTGGTACAAATATCTACAGTGTACATAACACCCTCGTGGGTACACAACCGGCTGGCTCTTCATGAAAGTGCGTCTGTTTAATTTTCGGCTGGCACGACATTCGTATCTGGCCTGCCCTGACGGCGTGCTCACCAGTCCAATGTACCAATACGGCACAGCTGGCTCTCTCTGAATACAGCACCAGGTTGATGTCTATGTTACTTCTCGTAGATTGCAACGACTCTGCAGCCTTGAGCGATCCCCTGTATGCTACAACGGAGTTTTTAATTCTATTTAGCAGCAGAGTTGAGAGTGATCTACTTGTAGTTCGTGAGTAAACAAGTTTCGGCTTCACGGCGACGAGGGAAAGGCATGGCTGAACCCTTCTCGCGATAGAAACTAAGAGGCACGCACCGCAGGGGGAGGGCTGGGGGCGATAAAAAAAAAAAGTACGTACTCGGAGTTGAAAAAACTTCTGTGATCTCATCTTCTTGTGTGGTCCCGGCTGATACGTCAGGTATATTCGCCGATAGGCGTGTAAACGGGTTCCACAACACTACTGTAGATCGGACGAACACAAACACACACACAAACGATTTGAATCAGACATTCATGACGTGCGTGTGCACACTTCACAGAATCACGCAGTTTCAAGCGCGTGCCATGCTGCACGACCCCCCCCCCCCCCTGCCGCGGTCGCGTGCCTCGATTTCTTGAGCACATGTAAAAAAAACGAAAACGCTCTCCTGATCACACTCCACAACCGATCTCTCGGTGTAAAGGGGTTGAGTTTGCGTCCCTTCTATTTCTAGCGCCAGGCCAAGTACAACAACCTTTCGGCATTTATTGGACGTACAGCCGGGGCAACTTCAATAACATTGTGGTTTTACACAATTGGGACCTTTCGTTGTCCCACCTTCCTCGTGCGCTGAGCTTGCCTTCGATTTTTGGCGCGCAAAGGGTTCGTCCAGCGCTCTCCCTTCCCTCTTACTGCGTTGTTTCGGTGTATTCTCGAGTATATATGGCTTTCGCCACAGCAAAATTGTTCCACCGGCGCGGGTGGCGTGTGTGCTTCCCCAAGAAGCTGATGTAGAAGTAGCATATCATATGATGCACACCCTGCGCACACCTACCTTGAGGACAGGAAGGGGGCTGAAAAAAGGCGGGACGTGATATCGATAGGATCGGGAAACGTGTTTGAGCAAGTAGGAAGGGACGATTGGCCATCGGTGATCGGCGGGCCTGTAGGAGCAATGCTCTGTATGACGCGTGGTAAATGGTCTAACCGCTAAGGCATGCAAAACATGAGTACGCCCCCCCATTCACACACACCTGAGGCTCTGGATGCAGCTCCGCTACCTCTTTCTAGTTGGGCACGTAGCGAATAACGGCGCCAAAAATGTTGAACACTCACGGTGGGGGGACCCATGGCCTGAACGCTAAGCTACACACTTCTAGCAGCAAAGGGTGTACCGTAAGGTTGCGAGTCAGCGCACAGGGTTGCAAATGATTTTCAAAGCGTAATTTCTCCACAACCAGGAGGTTAGAATACCACTGCTGTCGAAAAGGGCGGTTTTGGAAATATCTCATCGAGAGCTTTCCTGGCAAGATCAGTTGGCACTCGCACCCTCCTGGTTGTGGAGAAATTAAGCTTTGAAAATCAATCGCACTACTATGCGCTGACTCGGAACGTTACGGTAACCCTTTTTGATAATGCCTGTCACGTGCACCCCAAAGAAACGCCATCGTAAACACTCTGCTCCGCTTCTCCGTGCTTTTTGGCCACGAACACGTGCAATACCTATTCTGTACGAGGTGGACAAAGAAATGTGTGAGAGAGAGGTTGGACATTTCATACGCATACATCGATTACCAGCAGTAATGCGGGCGGGTGCGTCATTGTTTTTCAAGCTTCGAACGACATGTGTGGCAAGAATCTGTTGTTCAGCCCGCGTTAGTCACGGTTTCGTGCATCCTCGTGCATGGGTATATGTATATAGCATAGCGCCCATTGTTGGGTAGGTGCGAGACTGCTGTACAGCGTTGAGGTCCGCTGGGCTATCTCTAAACGTGAGTTGTGTGAGCTGCGTCACGCTGCTTTAGCTGGCAACCAGCCGTGGGTTCGCCTGCCGTGCGGCCTGATTTTCATGTTGCATCACCCCGTCTTTCGACTCATTTTCCTCTTGCATCACCCGCTCATGACACCGCTGCGCTCTCACAAGCGCATTCGAGAAAGGGTCATTTGTAGAACCCGTACATGCGGTATGCACAGCAGAAGAGTGCTTGTGGAAAATATCTCACCGCGCCACCTGTGCTTGCGCGGGGGAGCAAACTGGTTATCGAGGTCAAAACGAACGAACGAGCCTTGAGAGTACCGGGGGCGTGTTTGGAGTGCCCCTCTTTTGAGTCTCCGATGCGATGGTTTGAGTTATGATTACGTGAGTTTTCACATAAATACGTAAGTTTTCACGAATTCTTATTATTCGTAAGGCGGGCAACACGGCGCTTGCTCTGAAGGTGTACCGTCGCCGAAGCCGAGGTTACGCGGCGAGTCGTGTATCATCCGTACAGGGATCAAGATGGGGTTTAACCCTCGCTTTTTGACAACATGGTGGAAAGAAGGAATCGCCTCGCACACCGGTGACCTTGTAGAGAGCATACCGCCGTGTGCGCATGACGCTCTTTTACCGTTATCTTTTCAGATCCGAATATTCCCCGGTCGTTTTTTTTTTTTCCCGTTTTTTCGCAGGGAGTGCCCCAGCTGTGGCTACAACTGCTTCGCCTCCCGCATGGAATGCAACCGCTGCCACACGCCCAAGCCAGTGAGCGGCGTCGCTCCCGGTGGCGGCGGCTACTGATTCGGCCGCGAGTAGTAGTCCAACTCCTCGCTTGACGACACGGGGGTTCCACAGAATGTAGGGCCTATCGTCAGCTTTCATGAAGAGGATGGGGCGTTGTTGGATGCGCACGTTGCGTGCGCTTCACGGCTATCGATTCCTTTTTCGTGACAAAATCAAAGAGAGGCGACAAGACACGGGAGGGAGCCAGAACGATGTGCTTGTGCAAAAGATGTCGTTAGAGCGATGCTCTTGTGCAAACGATGGCGTTGTATCATATCGAGGGAGGACGAGAAGACAGGGCTCAAAAGCATGATCTTCGCCTTACTCTTTTTTCTCTTGTTTTTTTTTATTGTTCATTTTGTCATTTGTCGATGAAGTCGGCCGGGGCGCCGCTGCCTGTGGCGGTTGCCCCGATCACAACTAGCAGCTTATCAGATACCCCGTTGGGCAACTTGTGAGGTTTTTCCGTTGGGTTTTTCCTGCAAACAAGATTGGGAAGGTTTGGTTGTGTTGATGCCCTTTTGTAGCCCAGGAACCGATGCTCGGGTATCAACCCGTTGGCGTCCCCTTGAAAACCGAGGAGGGTGTTTTTTTGTGGGGGGGGGGGGGGGGCAGTTTCGTGTTGTATTTTTCTCTTGTTGAGTCAGGGGAGGGAGTGGGAGATCTTCAGTGCTTGGATGTGCATTGGTTCGGTCGAATTGGAGCAAATCGGACTTCGTAGTTGCTCTCCAACTTGGATGCTTTTTGTTAAGCGTATTACATGCTAGTATCTTGCAGTTTGCCAGTCTCGTGTCATTTTGTGTCCACTCACAGCTGGCTATAACTTTTTTGCGGCGGGGTTCAATTTCGGTTTTATGGTGAAACAAGATTGGGGAGGGGGGAACACGCACTACACGTATGGGGATTTGGTTGATGTGTTACCAGACTTCAGACACAGGTGTGTTGGCCGCTGCTGCCGGGGCGCTTAATTTTTGTTTTTTGGCTTAGGTATTTTTTCATGAGGGTATGAGGGGTGTTTTGTAAAGGGTTGTCTCATCCTCCGTCGAACGTTGTGCGGCGAAATAGTCTGGAATTCACGCGCTGGATACATTTAAAGAGAGGCGTAAGAGAGGGGTGTGCTCAGTGTAGTACTACTGTGAGGTGAGGTGGCCGTGGCAAGGTTGATCGGTGGGTGAGATTGGGGGGGTGGGGGGGGGGCTCGATTTTGCAAGGTTTATTTTGATCAATGAGATCGATTTTTCGGAGT